ATATATATATATAGATATACATGTATATATATATATATTTAAAGAAATACAGCAGACATGGTGGCTTGCTCCTGTAATCTCAGCTACTCATGAGGTAGAGGTGGGAGGATTGCTTAAGGCCAGCAGTTCAGGACTAGCTTGGGCAACATAGTGAGACCCAGTCTCTAAAAAAATTTTGTTAATAGCCACGCATAGTGGGGTGCATCCAAAGTCCCAGCTCTTCAGAAGGCTGAGGCAGGAGGATCTCTGAACCCAGGAGTTCAAGGCTATAGTAAGTTATGATCATACCACTGTGCGCCAGCCTGGGTGACAGTGAGATCCTGCCTCTAAGAGAAAAAAGAAAAAGGGAAATACACTGACGTCTGCATTTTAGCTTGGTGACTATACATTTGTTATCTTTGTCTACTCAGTCTCTGGTGCCTTTTTAAAGGAATGAACTAATTTTAATGAACTTTTGTTTAAAGTCAAAGAGACTCTAAGATGTTGTTAAACCCCTTCTCATCACTGTGACTTGAGGCCAAGACCTGTCTCATGGGTTCTTATGTCACAGGAGGCTCGTGAAATGAAATTCAATCTTCAAACAAAATTAAAATCCATAAAAATTTCAGATAATGTGTCTTTTTAAAATGACTTTTGTCATTTAGAATAAATTTCAATAAAATTTGGTATATGATTACTTAATCCCAATTCACCAAAATATTGTCTTTTTATTATAATGTGGTTACTTCATATTTTTTGGATTTCATCAAAGATTTATTAAGTCTAGAAAGAAGTTATAATACTAGTAGTAATGAAAATAAGAGAGAATATGTAATAATATGCTTTTAACAGCTCCTAGCCCCCACTCAGAAGCAATTAAATGGCATATGATTTAAACTTATGTGGTTCAGCATATTTTAATTATGTTTCCAGTACCTCTCAGGATCTATACCAGCAGATTATTTGTGATATTTTTCTTCTTTGTAATTGTAGGAGAAACACTTTCTGAAAGAGGAAAAGAATAAACTCGGCCAGGAATTGAGTATTGTTGTAACAGAAAAGAACAAGATGGCTGGGGAACTGGAGGTCCTGAGATCTCAGGAACGCCGTTTAAAAGAAAAGGTTGCTAATATGGAAGTTGCTTTGGATAAGGTAGTTATTAAGTAAATATGTAACTGTCCACTGAGTAGTTATTAACTAAATAGAATTGCTCAGCATAAAAGCTCTGTGTTGATAGGAACTAAATTTGCCAATTTTTATTGGACCCTAATCACTTAGCATGAAGAAAAACTATACCCATAGATAAAGCGCTTCTGTTGTATATCAAGTCAGTACACTGAACCCCATAAATGCATCATTATACATAGTTATGATTTAATTAAAAAAAAAGAAGAAGAAAAGACTTTGTATTAACTTGAATGGAAGTGAACACATTATTCTTACTAAAGCATCACAAGAATGGAGAAGTATGAACCCTATGTGTTCAATTTTGATATGAGGACAATTAATGACACGGTGCGGGGTAGAGGAAGGGGAGAGCAGAGAGAGAGAGAAGGAAGGATGAGGGTGGGGTCTCGGTGTGTGCCACACCTTTAGGGGGCAAGGCACAATTGTAAGAGGGACTTTACCTAACAGATGCAATCAGTGTAACCTGGTTTCTTGTGCCCTCAATGAATCCCCAACAATAAGGAAAAAAAGAGAGAGAGAAAGGGCTTCTGAATTTTAAAAACATAGCCATAATGCATACTTTTTACCAAATTATCTTTTTAAGGCTAATACAGTCAAAGTCACAAAGGTGTAAGATGCTCCTGATATCTTTAGTGGCCTGAATAAGTAAAAATGCTTTCCCAAGTTCCTAACTTGCCACTGAAAAATGACTTGGACTCTAGGTAGAATATGGTTGCTTAATAATGTCAATAAAATGATAAAGCTAACGTCCGGCAGTTTGTGGAGTCTAGACAGTGAAGGTAGAAAACACACCTTAAAGAATAAGAAGGATCCATGGTAATGGATTTGTCAAGAGAAGTGTCTCTTCATGTCACCTAAAACTCTGGGAGCCTCCAATTGTACAAAACCTGCCCTTGATCACTAAGAAACCAGAGCCTTCACGGTTAGATAAGCAATGTGTTTCCATACCTGCCACCTTGGTTTCTTAAAATATGCCATATTGACTCCATTAATTTGAGTTGTAGTTATTTTTATATAAATTTGTGCTAGCACTGTTTGCTCATTCTACCCTTGGTTCATTCTTTTGAGTGCCCTCCACACACTAAATTCCGTGTGTGTGCCAGGGGTACAGAAAATGGAGACGTGACGTCCAGTGGTTCACAGTGTACCGAGTACAGGGGTCCTCAAACTTTTTGAACAGAAGACTAGTTCACTGTCCCTTAGACCATTGGAGGGCCAGACTATGGGCCTGGGACGAGTCAGCTGCTAAGCAGGACAAGCAGCAGCGGCAAAAATAGCCGGCGGGCCGGATAAATGTCCTCAGTAGGCCACATGTGGCCTGCGGGCTGTAGTTTGAGGACCCCTGACCTAGTAAAACAGATAGGTGGGTAACTACACTGTGGGGGGAGTTCCCTTGAAGGTCTGGCAGCTCTGCCGTTGTAGGTTGATGAAGTGCACAAAGAATGCAGGGTAAACCACTTATGGTTGCTTGATTATAGGCGTCTTTGCAGTTTGCAGAATGTCAAGATATAATACAGCGTCAGGAGCAAGAATCTGTGCGTCTGAAACTTCAGCATACCTTGGATGTAAAAGTAAGGTCATCATAAATAGTAGTTTAAGCAAAAATCATGCCTTTGTTAGATGTGCTTGTATATTTTCTTCATATTCCGACATAGTCTGATTACTAGCAATGATAAGCTCTGTACAAACATTGTTACATACTCTACCTATCCTTTTCATATATGGTAACAAATTGAAGCACCACGCTTTATCCTTGGTTTACAGCAAGCAAGTGAAACACAAACAAATTTCACAAGTACCTGCCTTGGGGATACCCAAAGGAAGAGTTTTCCACGCACAGCAGTCGAGAGAGCACACAAACCCAGAGTGCGAGTACGTCCGGCTTGGTCGGGGAGTAGCAAAAGGGATGTAATCTGTGTAACAAGAACAAGTTCTTTAAAAATAGTAGATTTTCCCCTGAAATATATGCCTGTTTTCAGAAGCATACTTTAAAGCTGTGGATGTAAAGTCTCTATCATGGATTTTGCCTCTGAAATCAAATAACATTTTGATCTCACAGTTCTTTGTAGTTGTTAGCTGCCTACTGTCTTGCTCACCTTGTATTGATTTTCAGGAGCTTCAGGGCCCTGGATACACCTCAAATTCGATGAAGCCACGCCTGCTCCAGCCGGCATCTGTGACCCGTTCCCACTCCAATGTGCCATCTTCCCAGTCCACAGCCAGCTTCCTGTCTCATGTATGTATCCAATCTCATGATCCATGAGACATAATATGTAAGTAACTTTATATGGGAGAGAATTGCACTAAAAATAGCATATCTATAGTTATGGCATTTTCTTTTCTTTTTTTTTTTTGAGACAAGAGTCTCAAGCTGTTGCCCTGGGTAGAGTGCTGTGGTATGATAGCTCACAGCAACCTCCAACTTGGGCTCAAGCGATCATCTTGCCTCAGTTTTTCTATTTTTAATAGAGTTGGGGTCTCGCTCTTGCTCAGGCTGATCTTGAACTCATGAGCTCAAGCAATCCACCTGCTTTGGCCTCCCAGAGTGCTAGGATTACAGGCATGAGCCTTCCAAGCCAAGCCAGTTATGGCATTTTCAATTACTAAATTTTAGAGTTATATATTTTCCTGCAAATCTAATGGAGTCCAGCTAAATTAAAATGCTTTTTTTATTTTTGAGTATTTCCTCCAGGGAAAAGAAAAAATGAGATATTTAATGGGACTAACATTAGCAGTAATTGTTAAATTTTTTAATAGGCTTATATCCATGAGGTTTTTCCATCACAAGAATTTTCAGATTACAAAGCAAATGCTGACATGGCTAAGATGAGTATTACTTCAAATGCCATAGGCAAGTTGGTGGTCTGTTTAATAAATATTCTACCAGATGAAAATATTGGCTATATATGATTTATTTGTGAACTTATTTATAATCACAGATGTTAAACATAAAACATTTTTCTGCCCCTTAATTAAAATGTTAGAAACTTTGGAAATTTTTAACTTTAATCTTTTCTTTTTCTTTCTTTCTTTTTTTTTTTTTTGAGACAGAGTCTCATTTTTTCACCCTCAGTAGAGTGCTATGGCGTCACAGCTCACAGCAACCTCAAACTCTTGGGCTCAATCTATTCTCTTGCCTTAACCTCCCAGGTAGCTGGGACTACAGGAACCCACCACAATGTCTGGCTATTTTTTTTTTTTTGAGGCAGAGCCTCAAGCTGTCCCCCTCGGTAGAGTGCTGTGGCATCACAGCTCACAGCAACCTCCAACTTCTGGGCTCAAGCAAGTCTCCTGCCTCTGCCTCCCAAGTAGCTGGGACCACAGGCGCCCGCCACAACACCCGGCTGTTTTTTGGGTGCAGCCGTCATTGTTATTTGGCAGGCCAGGGCTGGATTTGAACCCACCACCCTAGGCGTATGTGGCTGGCACCTTAGCCACCTGAGCCACAGGCACCAAGCCATGCCCGACTATTTTTAGAGATGAGGTCTCACTCTGGCTCAGGCTGGTTTCAAACTCAAGAGCTTAGGCAATCCATTGACCTCAGCCTCCCAGAATGCTGGGATTATAGGTGTGAACCAGTGCACTCAGCCCCTTTTTTTTTTATTTGTTTGTTTTTTGAGACAGTCTCACTCTGTCACCCTTGGTAGAGTACCGTGGAGTCACAGCTCACAGCAACCTCAAACCCTAGGGCTTAAGCGATTCTCTTACCTCAGTCTCCCAAGTAGCTGAGACTACAGGTGCCCATCATAATGCTAGGCTATTTTTAGTTTAACCTTTTATATTTCTAAAGATCAGGAAAATAATTTTCAATATAAAATTAAAGCTTTAGCTTCTCTGAAGATATGTATTTATAGTATCACAAATCCCATACAAGTGTTCAACTATAAAGAAATGAGAATTTACTACTGTTCATGAATTTTGAACAGAAGGATTGATCTTCGATTACTAGAAAAAGATTCTTGTATTTTTACTCCTTGTTTATACAGTTCTATATATTATCTACACACTTGTATTGGGGAATATATCAATTTATCTTTCTTTTAACTGTGCACATGTACATGCACACACACACATTGCTTTTCCCTGTGTGACCCTTCACATGTAGTCCCATCATACATTTTGGTTAAATCACATTGACTGTTCAGATTACGGTGACTGTGTAAATACTGTTCCTTAGCTAAACCGTGCAGTGAACTGTGTTTGTATTTCTTGTTTACCCTCAGATTTCATAATTGTTCTGCTTTTTTTTTTTTTGCTTAGTTTCTGGATCCTTAGACCTGATTATCCCTCAAAATTCTCTGAAAAAAAGCCTGTCACCCTCCTTTTTGTAGGAGCTAATGAATTTCACAGGTCCCCTCATAAGTCGCTGTGTCCCTACGTGATGGGTGCCCCCGTCCAGCCTGCGTAGGCTGCTCTCTAGGCTGGGGGAATGGGGCCTTCTTGGATTTTCCTTCTGCCCAGATCTAGGGACTTCCCTTCATCTTTTTTCCTGTTTTTTAGGCTTAACTGCCGTTCCTGGTGTCTGTCTTTGTTTTGGTGGTGAGGTAATGCGGTCACTTCCCATGGAAGTGCCCATTTCATTCTAAGTTTTAACACCTTGCATGTCTGAATGTTGTTATTCTTCATTTACATTTGATCAAGGCTCAGAATTTTGTTGTTTTTAAGGCATTTTGACTCTCAAGTCTTTATCATCTGTTTGCCTTTCCTTAATTTTGACTTCCATATTCCATCTCCTCATTTCTAATTCCCATCTTTTGGGAAACTTTTTCAATTCTATCTTTCAAAGAACTATTGAATTTTCTGATCATTTAAAAAAAATTTCCAGGAACCTCCTTTTTTAAAAGTGTTTTTGTTATATGCCTTTCTCTTCTTTCATGGATGCTGTATTCTCTTGTTTCTGTTTAAGGATATTAACTTCAGTTTCTAAATAATTTCTTCTGTTGCCTGAATTATTAGTTTTTCTTAGAATTCATTTGTTTCTATTTTGTTGGCTTCTTTTAAGTCAGAGACTTTCCTTTAGTGCTTAGCAATCCTTGCCTGTCGGTTCAGATTTGAGGCTGAGGCCCTGAAGTCCGGCTGAAAGCTCCGGGGAAAATGGTCAGGGTCTGCCAACAGGTAGATGGTTAGGTATTACTTTTTATTGAGGGACTCGAAGAATATTCCTAAGTCTTTATTCTTGGGCTTGTTAGTTCCCCTGCAGAGGCGTGTGGGTGTGAATCCCTCAGCAGCATCTGAGAGGCGGCGTCTGTGCGGCCTCACTGGAGACTCACACCCTCAGTCCACAGCCTCACTCTTCCTGGGCTGACATTCCCTTTGGAGTCCAAAGGCCTTTGGTTCACCCTCACGCAGAGGCCAAGCCTCTAAATTCATTTAGGAGTAAAAAGTGAGAGTAATCATCTGCACATGAGAGGAGAGAGCCCAGAATCCCACAGCTGCTCCTGTAGACTTTGTCAGCTGGGCCACCTGTTTTGCTGCCCTGGCCCAACCCTGGCCCTTCAGAACGCGCTGGGCTTTCTGGACGCTCTGACACAGAGCAGCTTGCTTCTTGTTGGCCACTTCTATGCAGATTCGTTATGTTCTAACTTTCTTTCTTCTGCTAAGTCAGTCATGAAGTATCCGTTTGCTCTCCGGCTCCCAAAGTTTTGCTGCTTCTGCCCTTTTCTGCTCTATCCTTCCTAATTCCCTTAGTGTCATCTGAGGATAGAACAGTAGTAAATGCCAAGTGTGTTATAAGTGGGACAGCACTGATTGCTTCTTCTACATTGCCCCTTCACTAACTTCATTTATTATTTAAGTTTCCTTATTCTGTGATTCTAATCATAGCTCCGACTCTGCTCCCGTGCCGGCACCATGCAGAGTACTTTTGTAGATTATCTAGTTTATTCCTCACAGCTACCCAACATGGCATAAAAGCTACTATTATGTCTATTTTACAGATAGAGGATCAAAGCCTGGGGAAGCTCATTGACTTACAAACGGCTCACATGGCAAAAATGTACTTGAGTCAAGACTGACTCCAGACAGCCTGAGTCTAAAACCTCTGCCCCTAACCACTGCACTGCTTCTCCACACTGACTGCTGAGCGCTCTGTGCAGAGAAGCATTTATAATGTACACGAACTGATACTATGTTTAATTAGGTCTTTGTGAATGAGGATCTTACAGTTTTAAAGCTTCAAAGGCATTTAAAATTCTCTTGGTGATTCCCCTTATGCTATAGATAAAAAAAAATCAGTCAACCAGCCGGGCGAGGTGGCTCATGCCTGTAATACCAGCACTCTGGGAGGCCGAGGCGGGTGGGTAGTCTGAGCTCACAAGTTTGAGACCAGCCTGAGCAAAAACAAGACTTCAACTCTACTAAAAATAGGAAAACTGAGGGAAAAGGATCACTTTGGCCCAAGACTTGAAGGTTGCTATGAGCTGTGATGCCATAGCACTCTAGCCAGGGCAACAGCTTGAGACTCTGTCTCAAAAAAAAGAAAAAATCAGACAACCAGAAAAGTTATATTAAGAGATTTGATCAAAACTCAAACATCTAGAAAAGATGTGTACTATATATGTGTGTATACACACATGTATATACACATTCACACATGTATGATCAATAATTTGATGTAGAAGTATTTTAGGTTAGTATTTCAAATAATGGCTATTTCAGCATATAAAAATAAAATATTGTTAGGGTATATCATTTATTTTGGTTGTATAATTGATACTTGCTATGCTTGATCTTTACCTATGAAGGATCCATCTTGTCACCAAGATTTTTAGCAACACTTTGTAACTTTTCTTCTATATCCTACTCATCCATTTCTAATGCACTATATAAATAGTATATTTATATTCCATCTTATTACAATATTCTAAAAGGAATACAAGTCTAAGAGATGGATTTGGGCAGACATTCTCAAAATAAAATAGTCTGATACAAACTGAATAAGATCAAGCCATTATTTTTAGCTTTTTCTTTTTTGCAGTTTTTGGCTGGGCCAGGTTTGAACCTGCCAGCTCCGGTATGTGGGGCCGGTGCTCTACTCTTTGAGCCACAAGTGCCACCCATTTTTAGCTTTTTCATTTATCTTCTATCTTTAGAGAGGGAGATAGAACCGGTTGGGAAGCACACACTCTCCTTAGGCATTACTTAGCTTACACCATAACTCATAAGACTCAAGGCCATTAGAGAAAGCATTTGGAGAAGATGGAGATACATTAGAGATATAAGAGTAATTTTAGAAACAAATCTAACATAAAATGATTTGAGTCAAAATGTAATAGGAAATTCACTGAACCACAAAATAAACCTTAAGTTTAACACCTTAGGGTATAAGGTTATATTCTGCCCCTGAAACCAAAAGCTTGTAGTAGTTTCATATTGCAAATATGTATCCTTAGAAATAGCCTTAATGGACAGGGTACAGTGGCTCACATCTGTAATCCCAGCACTCCTGGAGGCTGAGGTGGGTGGATCCTCTGAGCTCAGAAGTTCAAGACCAGCCTAAGCAAGAGTGAGACCCCATCTTTACTAAAAATAGAAAAACTAGCCAGGTATAAAGCTAGCTGGGTGTTGTGGTGGGTACCTGTTGTCCCAGCTACTCAGAAGGCTGAGGCAGGAGTTTGAGGTTGCTGCAAGCTAGACTGAAAACAAGGCACTCTAGCCTGGAGCAAAAGAGTGAGGCTCTGTCTCACACACACAAGAAAATAATAATAATAATGTTTATCCTAAGGATCAGGGTGGGAGAGAGCAAGATCCTTTCTGGGCTCAAGTACCTTCAGGAAGAGCTTATGTTCAGTTAGTTCTTTGCCAGCCTGATAGGAGTCATCTAAACAATATTTTAGAATTGTTTATTTCTCAGTTATTTTCTAATTTTAAAAAGTGTGTTTTGTTGATGTTATAAATCAATATGCATTCTATATGAATTAAAGCCATAAATGTAAAGTATTAAAAATGAATTAACAAAATGATTCCAAGGTATGCAAACATTAAAAGGAAAGATTGATAATTTTGACTAAATAAAACTGCTTACATCACAAAACTACCATAAACAAAACTAAAAAGAAACTACAACCAGAAAAATATTTCCAATAGATAAACGCTTAATATCTACAATATATAGAGTTTTTATATATCCAAATGAAGTTGGCATATACTCTAAAAGAAACATGTACTAAAGATGTGGTTACAGACAGCCAGTAAACATGAAAAATGTTCAAACTTATTTGTAAACAAATAATAACCACATATAAAAGTGAAAATGAACCACTAGTTTTACATACAAAATTATCAGCTGATAACGGGACAGGTGTAGGGTAATGGGCACCCTTGTTATCAGACCCATCTAATAAACATGCAGCAAAATTAACTTTGTGTTTTTGCTTCCTAATTCACAGTTTCCTTTTTAAAATCCACAGATTTAATTTTTTTTTATTATTTGGGATCTGTTGAGGGTATAAAGAATTAGGTTACATTGATCAGACTTAATTTTTTAAGAGCTGTTTTAGGTTTACCAAAAATTTGGATGAAAAATATCTGGAGATAGTTCTCACATCTATGCATGTAGCAAAAAATCCTTTACATAGAGCCGACAAGGATAGGTAGATAGGGATATACACATGACTTAAAAAAATATTTATTTGCTAAATGGTTAACATTTGCTAGAGTTATGTCACATTTACCTCTCCTTTAGTTGAAAATAATAATGTAGTTTGCATAGAAATTATACTTTTACATACTAGAACTAATACTTTCTTTGAGAACATAGCTATAGTAAAGTCATACTTCAAGTGGTAGTTATAAAATTGGCTGAGATGGAACTTTCAGGTTCTGCATTTTTGCTTCTGTTTATTTTGCTCATCGTGTAAATATTTAATCAGAACCTCTAGAAAACTTTGACCACTGCTGAATTCGTCTTCTGCTTTCCCGAATACTACTCCCGTGGGTTCGCTTGTAGTAACCCTCCCAGGAAAACTGAAGAAAGCATTATCTTCTTATAGGTAATGGTAGGTTCATTCTAGAGACAGTGCCTTGCCCTTATTTGAATGTCAGTGTAGAAAGTATTGTGTAAAATACAAAGTGAAATTATTTCCTCCCTGTATAGTAAGTTCCACAGAAAAAGGTAAAATGTTGAACTTATCCCACCTTACAAGAAGTTGTTTGAAAAACTATTTGGAAAAAAGTTTGGCAGTGTCCATGTCATTTTTTTCTCTGAAGTTTACAAAAAGAAAGAAAAAGGAAACAGACAGAAAGTACTCCTACTTATATCAAGGGGACATCATAGATGCCATGGATACCGTGTTTCCCCGAAAATAAGACACTGTCTTATATTTATTTTTTCTCAAGAAGACATACTAGGACTTATTTTCAGGGAATGTCTCGTTTTTATTAAGTATAATACAACAATCTCCATTTATTCAAATATAGTGAAGTCATCTTCTTCTGGAACCTGACAAGGGGAGCCAGCCTTGTTGGTGGGGCTGGCACTAGTGATGCGTGAACTCCTTTCCCCTAGCCCTTCACACATGCAATAGGATGCCTGCAACCGCGGTTACCACACGTGCACCCACACAAGTGTGAACAGCTCAGAGAAAGGAGCTGTGGTAGATAAAAGGTATTCCAGTCTTCCTTACTGCTCTGCACCAAAATGCATGGCCCTGGGTCAGTAAGCATATTATATGCATTATGTTTTTATACTGAGGGGAGAGTGTTCTTGAAAACTTAATATGCACACATTAAATAATTCTCATTTTTTTTTACCATCTTTGCAAAGTCATTTCCCTCATTTTTAAAGATGAGGACATTGAACCACAAAGAAGTATTTCCCTTGTAATAATGAACACCCCAAAATACAAGTTATAGGACAAACCCATGATGATTAAACCAAGTCCTTCCTCTGCGGTACTTGCATTTTAACTGAAGGAGCAATGGACATTTCAGAAGTCTGGAAGACAAGTGTTAGGATGAAGGCTACAAGACAGTGTCATCAGACTGGTTGTGATTAATTGCTAACTGAATAGTAGAAGTGACTGTTTTTTAAAAACTTTGTCTTATAAAACACCAGTCACTCTTGGAGAACCTGAGTTCCATGATGGGGGGGGGGAAAGTTGAATCATTTATGATGAATGTCTAGGGCTTAAACATTTTAACAATAATTGCCAAAGCTTATTATTATTATTATTTTAGATAGAGTCTCACTGTGTTGCCCTAGGTAGACTGCCATGGCCTCACAGCTCACAGCAACCTCTAACTCTTGAGCTTAAGCAATTCTCTTGCCTCAGCCTCCCAAGTAGCTAGGACTACAGGCACTCACCACAATGCCCAGCTATTTTCTTGTTGCGGTTGTCATTGTTGTTTAGCTGGCCCACGCCAGGCTTGAACCCAGAAGCCTTGGTGCATGTGGCTGGCACCATGACCAACTCTGTAACCACTGAGCTATGGGCACTGAGCCTGCCAAAGCTTATTAAATGCACTTTCTAGTGGGCAGAGGATAAGAAGATATGAAGTCCGTGTTAGAACTAAGGTGACTGGCTCAGTGCCTGTGGCTCAAGTGGCTAAGGTCCAGCCACAGACACCTAAGGTGTGGTGGGTTCGAATCTAGCCCAGGCCCACCAAACAACAATGACGGCTGCAACTAAAAAATAGCTGGGTATTGTGGTGGGCGCCTGTGGTCCCAGCTACTTGGGAGGCTGAGGCAGGAGACTTGCTTGAGCCCAGGAGTTAGAGGTTGCTGTGAGCTGTGATGCCACAGCACTCTACCCAGGGGGACAGCTTGAGGCTCTGTCTCAAAAAAAAAAAAAAAAAAAAGAACTAAGGTGACTGAAGATTGCAGTGGGACAAGGTTTTCTTTATCAAGTTTACCAGGTTTTATTCCATGTTATGTATTATGTGACCAGGACTCGGACAAGAATAAAGCCAGTGTTTGGTAAAACTGGGTCATCCTCTGAAAGACACATGTTTTTATTCATGATTAAGATACTGATTCTCATCTTTGTTTTTTTTTAATGAATGGAGTCAAATCTGATAATTTAATGAAGTCTAACTTATTAAACTTTACAAGGACTCATGACAATTTCCAGGTACCGTGACCATCAGTAAACTGGAAAGACCATTTGCACCTCACACTTAGTCCGAACTCTTGATGTCTTCAGCTGGATGCTCTCTGTGACCTCTCAGTGGGGATGGGAAGAGGCACGTGCCAGGACCATCAGCTCCTTATTAGCCTGGCCCCTAGGAAAGGAAAGCCCAAATAACCAGAAATGTGCAGTATTTCCCCTCAGCAGCCAACCTGTGGGACAGGTGTAACTACAGCAGGGTGGATGTGTCTTGGGCAGGAGTGTAGCTCGGGGGCCCACCAGGTCCACCTGCCCAACCAGGCCAACTTCTGTCTGTCAATTCTGTTCCCTCCGGCTGTGTCTATTGGGAATGTCTGTGCCTCTTATTGAATAAATATGCCTTGGAGAACACTATCAATCTGAAAATATTTTTACATTATTCTCAAATATCAACTAACAGTTTAAAAATATTGGATCTCTCTTTCCTTATCAGTAAAATATGGGGGGTATATTAACTTTTCTCTAAAGAGTTTATTTCTCAAGTTCTATAGTTTTATAAAATTAGTTTAGCTGTAAACAAAGCACTGAGATTATCTTGCCCTGATGTAATTGACATTACTTAATGACCTGGTAAGGGTTGTCATACTATGTTGTTAAAATTTTAAAATAAAAAAAGCTTAAAATTAAATGTGTGTAGTTTGATCCCAAATATGTACACATGTGTATCCATGCGTATAGCTGGCATATATCTATTAGTTAGACGTACACTATTGATTATTGATTGGTTATTATTGTTTATTCCTGTGTAGCAAGGTGATGGGTGAATTTCTCTCCCTCTTCTTGCTCTTCTGTTTCTCTGTTTAATGTTGAACTGTATAGTAGGATAGCATACGAATCTGAAAAATAAGCATCTTTGTTGTGTAAATTGTTTTAACTCAGCACTCTGGGAAAGTGAACCCACTGAAGGAAGATCCCACGAGGGACTTGAAACAGCTGCTCCAAGAGCTGAGAAGCGTAATCAACGAGGAGCCGGCCATGCCGCGGGGCAAGGCGGAGGAGGACACCAGCAGCCCGTCCCTGGGAGGCGTGTGTGTGGCCGTGTAAGGCTGTGTGCACTCAGGGCGGGAGTGGACCTCATGAGTGCCTGAGTTGCCCACCTGTTACTGTCTGGGAGATGAGGTTTAAATAACTTGAAAGAATATCTGGAGTTACCAGGGAAAGCACTATGAAAATGGAGGAGTTAAGCAAAAATAAAACAGCTTGACATCGAGAAAAAATAATACGGCCATTCGGTTCAGGCGGTAGTCAGTGCAAGGTTATCATTATGTAACTTATATATAATTATAAGTTACGTTTGTGTAGTAACTTATAATTCCCAACACATTTTGCTTCTGTACTTTTACCTAAATATCAGAACCACCATTTGAGATAAGGCAGGGTAGGTTTTATCCCATTTTATAAATGAGGAAAATAAAAAAGGTTGACTTCTCCATAGCCACACAGTGCAGTGGTGGAGCTAAAACTAGAGCCCTGAGAACTACTGACCAGTCCAGGTGTAAGCTGATAGGAAAGGCCTGGGCTCTCCCCATGTTCGTGCCGGTGACCTCCATCAAATTAATAAAAGGCCAGATCTAGAAAGGATTCAGCCAGCTCTCCAGCCCTTCCCTGTACACAGCTGTAAAAATCAATGAGATTCTCATACATTTTTATTTATTTTTGCAGCTTTTTTTTTTTAAGTGTTGGGGATTCATTGAGGGTACAAAGAACCAGGTTATGATGATTGCATTTGTTAGGTAAAGTCCCCAAAAAGGTGTGTCACACACTGTGACCCCCCCCATATGTTTTTAAACAGTGCATTTTATTTTATTGTCACTTAGATTAGCTTAGGGTATTTCTATTTTTAATATTATAACCCATAGCTGTAATATTCATTTTGTAGTTATATGACAAATACTGTATCTAAAAGTATTACTTTCTGAAATAGTACCTGTTTCTATAAACAATCTCTAGGTTGGGGTGGTGGCTCATGCCTGCAGTCCCAGCACTCTGGGAGGCGGCCGGCTGCGGGGGGCGGTCACTTGAGGTCAGGAATTCAAGACCAGCCTGAGCAAGAGTGATACCACGTCTCTACTAAAAGTAGAAATAATTAGCTGGGGGCAGTGGCAGGTGCCTGTATTTCTAGCTACTTGGGAGGCTGAGGCAGGAGGATCACTTGAACCCAGGAGTTTGAGGTCCTGTGAACTGTGATGTGACCATGGCACTGGAGCCAGGGTCCAGTGGGTGGAGATCCTGTCTTCAAAAAAAAAAAAAAAAACTGATTCTTTAAGGTGTCCAATTAGTATATATTAACCTGAGGCATCAAAATACATATTAGCTGGGTTTATCTAGTTGTTATTAACACTGATAACAATAGTAAAGTATGAATAATAGCCCAGTTACCCAGCATAACATTGCATTATCTGAACCACATAATGTCAGGAACGTTCCACTGACCACTCCATCAAAGAATATGTTCATTGTCAGAGCACTTTGATTCTGTCATAACTGTAGTATGCCTTGTAAGCCGAGCAGTAAGTTCATTTGATGGAGGTGTGTCCTGTGAAGCACAGAGGCCCAGCGAGGGGGAGCTCGAGACCCCACCCTCAGCACAGCTCCCTACAAGGGCGGCAGGGCCTCCCTGATCAAGTTCCAACATTCCAGCCACTGATGGCCTTGGCCTGGATTGGACTGCATCAAATGCAAATGTCTGGTCCTAGAGAGCTTATGTTAATTTGCTGTAATCCTATAAACGCCCTGGGCACTAAAGCCTAAACTCAGCCAGACTCATTAAAGAGTTCACATTTCTGATGAACTCCAGAGACAGCCCTTTGCAAATTTGCTTAGAAGTTTAAAATATGCAGTTGTGACTTAAAGAAAAATTAAATATATGTAAGCATTGACTATTCTAAAAAGATTTGGAATCTGGAAATTGTTCTTTATATAATTAACAGAGGTTTTGTCTCCACAGAGATGATGGAATAAGAGAGTGCATTACTGAATCAAGCCTTAGATCAGACATATGCCGGAGGTAAAAAGAATCCGAAATTCTGAATGATATTAATTGTCCAAGAATTTTATATGTGGCCTATAATTTGGGAAGTCTGTTGGGACAGTTTACAAGGCACTTAATGGGCATATTGGGCTCATGGAAGGAAGCTGGTCTATTGTGTAACTGACTCTATAAAGGATTTTAATGAAATACACTAAAGTAATTCACTTTCTAGAAGTCAACTTAATAGACATATTTTAATTTTGAATTTTTCTGATGTTTACCCACATGAAGCTATTTTTATATGGTATGCAAATAGAAGACCTTCGGTATATGCAGATATTTACAGTGGCTTCTATAACTTTGGAGAAAAGAGTGGTCCAGAAGGAAGTGGTAACAAGCTCAATTTAGAATTATAAGAACTTTATTGAAAACAATTCTGTTTTCATCAATAATTGGATAGCTGAATTTTTAAATAAAGTTATTAAACAAGCATAAACAAATAAAATCCATAACCCTAAATAAGACACTGATCAAAGACAACTTCCAAAAATTAACTTTAGCCAAAAAAGAAAAAAGACTAATATTAATTTGTTTTTCTTATAAAACACTGTGGCCATTGCTTAGAAATCTTGAGCAGATGCTCCCTGCCTGCTGTGTTAAGCGTGTGATGGCTGAAGAGTCTCCGTAACTTGTCACCACTCTGCTTTTACTCCAGCATGAGGCTCTAAGCCAGGAGGCGCCTCCTTCCCAAGAGTTCCTTTCTCTTTGTCTTTAAGATTTTCTCCATACTATTTACTCTTTTAAATCTGTATGTATCTGAAAGAAAAGTTCAGAGGAACAATTTTGTTTTATTATTTAGTTAATATTTATGATCTATCCTTTGGGCTCTCAGATGATATCATTTCACCTAAGAGAAAAATAAAATTTTTGGAATTTTTAAAAAGGAAACAAAAATAAATTATTTCTCTCAAAACCTTTGTTACTTTGGTAAGAGAATAATATTATATAGGCTTTGATTTCTTTCATCCTTCTACCAACAGAAGCAACAACTCATTAAGGGATTCCACAGAATGCAGCAAATCAAGTGAAACTCTTAGTAGGTAAGAAATGGTCTCATCAGCCCCTAGTTTTAAAAACTTCCCTCTGTCATTGTGCGAGGCGCTGAGAGTGTAACAACAAGCAGGCCGGGTACGGGCCCTGTCCTCAGGTCGCTGAGAATCTTCAGTGCTATCTATTGACTGAATGCCTGGACAAACTTATTTTTATCTTTTCTATTTTCACCACCTATAAAAATAGAGATATCTGAGCCCTCTTTCTTTCTTTCTTTCTTTTTTTTTTTTTGAGGCAGAGTCTCAAGCTGTCACCCTGGGTAGAGTGCTTTGGCATCACAGCTCACAGCAACCTCCAACTCCTGGACTTAAGCGATTCTCTTGCCTCAGCCTCCCAAGTAGGGAGGGTGCCCGCCACAATACCCAGCCATTTTTTGGTTGTAGTTGTCATTGTTGTTTGGCAGGCCCAGGCTGGATTTGAACCCACCAGCTCTGATGTATGTGGCTGGCCCCTTAGCCACTTGAGCTACAGGCACTGAACCCCCTCTTTATTTCTTATAAGATATGAAAGTAAATTTTGCTGTTAAAATCTAATTAGATGAGAGCTTAGTCATTGCTGTATCTTCAGCACCAAGCATAATGCCTGCCACGTAATAGCCATTCAGTAGATATTTGTTTAGGGAGTAAATTAAGATAGTATTGTATGTCTCTGATACAGTTCACTTGATCAGAATACAGAGAACTTGAATCTTTCTGAATGCAGTTGCCCCTCTGTGTCCGTGGGGGATTGATTCCAGGATTCCTGGTGAACACCAAAACCCATGGATGATCAAATCTCTTCTGTAAAGTGCTGTAATATTTGCATATGACCAACTCACATCCTCCTTTATACTTATTAAATCATTTCTAGATTACTTATAATACCTAATATACTGTAAGTAGCTGTTATACTGTACTGGTTAGGGAAAAATGACAACAAAAAGGTCTGCACATGTTCTGTGCAAATGCAACCTGATTTCCTGTTGGTCAAATCCATGAATGCTATACTCACAGATACAGAAGGGAACTGTATACCTTTCTCTTAGCTTAAAAAAAAGGTGTTTAGATTTCTTTCTCATCTGGGTGCATGGCACTATTTCATACCTATTGTTGACTACATCTAACTCCTGCATATTTTTGTTGTTAGTATTTTCTGGTTGTTTTAGACTTAGCTCATTTAGACTAATAAAATCTGGTTGGTTGGACACAGTGGCTCACACCTATAATCCCAGCACTTTGGGAAGCCAGAGCCAGATCACTTGAGGCCACAATTTCAAGACCAGCCTGGGCAGTGTAGTAAGACTGTCTGTACAAAAAATTAAAAAATTAGTTGGCCATGGTGGTGCATGCCTATAGTTTAGCTACTCAGGAGGCTGAGGCAGGAGGATCAATTGATTGAGCATAGGAATTCAAAGCTGCTATGAGCTATTATGATGCAACTGCATTATAGCCCAGGGAACAGAGCAAGACCCTGTCTCATGGTGGCTGTAATCCCAGCATTCTGGGAGGCCAAGGTAGGAGGATCACTTGAGCTCAGGAGTTTGAGACCAGCCTGTGGAAGAGCAAAACCCCATCTCTACTAAAAATTGAAAAAGATTGGCTCTGCGCCCATAGCTCAGTGGTTAGGGTACTGGCCACATGCACTGGGGCTGGTGAGTTTGAACCCAGCTCAGGCCTGCTAAAACAAACAAACAACAACAATAACAACAACAACAAAAATAGCCGGGCATTGTGGCAGGTACCTTAGTCCCAGCTACTTGGGAGGCTGAGACAAGAGAATTGCTTGAGCCTAAGAGTTTAAGGTTGAGGTTGCTGTGAGTTATGAAGCCATAGCACTCTACTGAGGGCAACAAAGTGAGACTCTGTCTCAATTAAAAAAAAAATAGAAAAAGATTAGCCAAGTGTGATGGCACCCACTTGTAGCCCCAGCTACTCAGGAGGCTGAGGCAAAAGAATTGCTTGAGCCTGAGTGTTGGACGTTGTAATGAACTATGATGACACCGCTGCACTCCAGCTACAGCAACAGAGTAAAACCCTGTCTTCAAATAATAATATAATCTATGAGGGAGGCATTCTTTTCCTTTCTATAGTATAGGTTAGAAATGAAGACTCAAATTGCTTAAGCAACTTGCCAAGGTCATATAGCAGAGACACCTCAGATTTGAACTCAGGTCTAGCTGGGCTCCTGTGCTTGTGACCATTACTGTGTACTGTTCCTGGCTACTTGGGAAGGAACCAGTCATTGAGAAGGCATTGTTTTACAATTTTACAATTTCATGACTGGCTTAATAAAAGACCACTGGGTCCTCATATCCATGCATGCATTTAATGAGATAACATCAGCCATCACAGAGCCTCAGGGTAGCTCCACTCTGCACTGGTGAGAGTGGGGTGCTAACCAAGTAACATCTTACTATTATAACGAGAATAGTTTTGCCTTTGTAAGCCCCCTGGAAGGGAGCCAGCTTGAGAGCTGCTGCTGTGACATTCTTACCCCGGCACCCAACTCAGGCCACGGTGTGGTTCCTGCCAACTCTTACTTAAGTGAGTCTTACAGTTTTATAAAGTGATACTACTGTTGCTCAGAGGATTTTTTTTTTTTTTTTGCGGTTTTTGGCCGGGGCTGGGTTTGGACCCACCACCTCTGGCACGTGGGACCAGCGCCCTACCCCTTTGAGCCACAGGCGCTGCCCGCTAAGAAGATTTTTGTTGTCGTTTCTTTGGTTCTGCATTTTTTGACGAGTTATGAAGATTACGTCTCTTAGTATCAATGAGAAAAGTGATTTGGGTTTTATAACTATAATTACACAAAAACGAATGTTCTAATCAAGATCATTCCTTATAATATTTTCAGTCTGCAGAATGTTCATAGGTACCGAAAACAAAAAGATAATGCAACTTTCAGTTGTCCTCCTAAATTATTTTATTTTAGAATTTCTGCAGTTCAGGGTTGTCATTGCCATCTTGACATCTTTATAGTTTCATGACTGGCTTAATAAAGGACAACTGAGTTCTTGTATCTGTGAGATATGGGAGAGAAGGGAGCTGGCTCCTTTCCAGGGGACTTATGAAGGCACAACTATTCTCGTTATAATAGTAACATGTTACTTGGTCACGAGTGCAGAGTGGAGTTACCCAGAGGCTCTGTGATGGCTGAGCTTATCTGATTATATTGTAAGCCATCAAGTTTGCCCGTGTTGGTTCACTTCTGTCCATAAATCGTATTTGCGTTTGTGACGTGGATCTTGCTTTGCCATTCTGTTGCTTCCAGAGACCCAGTCACGCTACACACGGCAGACATGGAAGATCCATCCAGCTGCTTCACGTTCCCACCCACAGGTGAGTTTCCAACAGAAGCCCAGAAATGAGGCTACTTACAAGCCTGCAGGGGTGCCCCATTTCCACGCGAGTCAGAGTAGCCTCTGAGTCCCCAGGAACTCTCAGGTCTCAGTTCCTAGTTTTCTTTTCTTTCACCCATTCTGCTATATTCACCCTTCAGCTATTCCTTGAAAACATCAGGCAGCTTCCCTGAGATACAGAAGTTGCCCAAGGGCAGATCTGTAACTCTTGGGTCTCCTGACAGATCCCAGGTACCTAGAACCTCATCGGCACATAGGTGCTCAGTATGTATTTACTGAGTGGATGAAAGAAAAAGAGAGGAATCAAGACAGATGGTTCTTTATGTAATTTCTAAGGAATTACAGACAAGATGATCTCTATAAAAACAAGCTTTTGAAGGAAGAGATTGAAAGACAACAAAATCTGTTGAAAAGCAAACTGAGATAACTCAGACTAGAAATAGAAAAGAAAAATTAAAATATAATAGAGAAAGACTTTTACAATGAAAAATAAAAGAGGCATGACTGAAATGACAGAAAATTACACAGAATTTTTTAAATAGGAAAGAAAAAATAATTATAGAGAATATGTTTGATTTGGAAGGATCTAACATAAGGGAAGACAACAAAATGAATGGGAAAGAATGAAACTGAAAATAGTATTCAAAAATGTAGCTATAGCTATTCTGCGTACCTGGAGAATAAATAATGTAAGTAGGAGGAATTGCGGTAATGTGAAAAGAGATGAGAGAAAGATGCGTTTCCAGTTTTTTTCTTCTTTTAGAGAAGAGCGTCAGGGTAAGGTCACCTGCCACTTGATAACCTCTTGGTCAGGGGCAGACCACGTATACAGTAGTGGTCCCCTAAGGTACAGGGGAGTTGAAAAATTCCTACTGACTAGTGATGTCATTGCCATCCCAGCGTCACACAGCAGCACGGTGCCTTGTCTGTGTTTAGTTTGTTTACATGCACAGATGCTATTGTGTTCCTGCCGCCTGCCACCTGCCCTATCTGAAGAGCCACAGGGCGGGGCTCGTTCCTGTTCACCCCCTTCCTAAGGCACAGGCCTTTTCAATTTTAGTGAAAACCTGGGATATTTACCAGAATATCCCCCTTTCTCCTATCATTGGGAACATTTTCGCATGGAAGTTTGACTTTTTAAAGAGGTACAGTGTACTGTTTTTAATTAATTTTGTCCTTCTACTTGTGTCACTGCAAAATTTCAGGAAGTCCATCCGTGAAGAACTCTCCCTGCCGTTCGTTCAGCTCCTCTCCTAAGAAATCCCCAGTGCACTCGCTGCTCACCAGCTCAGTGGAGGAGTCAGTGGGCTCCGTGTCACAGTACAGGTGCGGCAAACCTGCTCATTCCTCCGAATCTGTCAAAGGTAAGAATAATGGAATGTCTCTCGGGATTAATTCATTTCTCACTCTGCTAAACTGAAAGTTCTTTTAGTAGAACTAATAAGACTTTGTGTGCTGTTTTTATATGCAAGCCCTGGTTGACAGTGTGTTCCTTAAATCTTATTTGAATAGAACAGCTATTGTGTACACTGTGCAAATTTAGTAAATGTATGTGAATATTATATGTAAGTATTGTCTCTTTTTCTCGGACATGGATAATAGATTTTACCTCTATTTTGTTATAAGGTTTTGAATTTTTTAATCCTATGAGTGACTTTTGTCTCTTTCTGATATTCTTTAAACTTAACAGGCCTCCTTCAGTCTCTGTGCACACAGGCATCTACTCTACAAACCTGTCAACAGTTTCCCTTTTTTTATTATTATTATTTTTTTATCGCCCTCAGTAGAGTGCTGTGGCATCACACAGATCACAGCAACCTCCAACTCCTGGGCTTAGGTGATTCTCTTGCCTCAGCCTCCCGAGTAGCTGGGACTACCGGCGCCCACTACAACACCCAGCTATTTTTTTTTGTTGCAGTTCGGTTGGAGCCAGGTTCAAACCTGCCACCTTCAGTATATGGGGCCAGCGCCCTACTCACTGAGCCACAGGCTCCGCCCAGCTTTTTCCCATTTTTTAAATTTTGCATTCACTTGTTATTTGATAAGACAGACAAGGAAACTAGTTTGATTTTGAGTAAGCACAAGCCTGGTAAATAAGTGGATGTCAAGACAGTGCCTGTAGCTCAGTGGGCAGGGTGCCAGCCACATACACCAAGGTTGGCGGGTTTGAACCCAGCCCAGGTCAGCTAAAATAACAATGACAACTGTAACAGAAAAAATGGCCGGCGTTGTGGCAGGTGCCTGTAGTCCCAGCTACTTGGGAGTCTGAGGCAAGAGAATCTCTTAAGCCCAGGAGTTTGAGGTTACCATGAGCTGTGATGCCATGGCACTCTACCCAGGGTGACAGCTTGAGACTCTGTCTTCAAAAAAAAAAAAAAAAGCAGGTGTCAAATATGTATTTGTTGACTTGAACTGGAAATGTCTCTCCTTGTGTATGAGAATGGCCCGACAGCCCCAGTGCTCTGTGACACCATTCCCTGTCATGGCAGATACATGAGGCCTAGTGCACCACAGTCAAGTCAGTTCTCAGTCTTTTCGGGCCTTCTGGATCCTTGAATGCAGCCTTTTGACTGAACCCACATTTTATAGAACAGATCCTTTTAATAAAGGCATACTGTGCCTTCCACATTTCTAGATGCTGACAAAGTACTAATCACACATATTAGTCCATTTTCTTTTTTACTATTTTTCTTTCTGTACTTGTGTTCTCTTTCATCTTATATGTTTCTAAGCTATCCATTTAGTATTTTTAAAATGTAAAGTATTAGCCAGGCATGATGGCTCACTCCTGTACTCCTGACAGCAACTTGCAGTGACAGCATGGGCACTGGCCTGGTTCCATTATCTGTAGTCTTCTCGCTCATGTACCACTTAGTACAATGGAATTAAATAATAGTAAATCTGATTGGATTAAAACAAAATCAGATAAGCTAGTACTTCAATATTTAGATAAAATTTGTTTTTCTCTGTTTAAAATAGTGTTTTAAGGGCTGTGTGCAGTGGTTCATGCCTGTAATCCCAGCACTGGGAGGCCAAGGCGAGTGGATTATCTGAGTTCAGGAGTTGGAGACCAGCCTGAGCAAGAGCAAGATCTTGTCTCTAAAAATAGCCGGGTGTTGTGGTAGACACCTGCAGTCCCAGCTACCATGGAGGTTGAGGCAAGAGGATCACTTGAGTCCAAGAGTTTGAGGTTGCTGTGAGCTATAATGCCAGGTACTCAGACCCACGGTGACAGAGACTCTGTCTCAAAAAAAAAAAAAATAGCATTTTAAGGTTTAAATATTATAACTCTTTTAGAATTTGTATAGTATGGGTTTTTCTGGTTCCTTTTATTTTAAAGGAAAAGCTTTATAGCCTATGCTTATAATTGCATGCTTCTGAAAAGACATCGAATAGACTTTTAATATCACATCTAAGCAATTTTCTAATAGATTCACAGTCTCAGCCAATAGAAACAACAGGAAAAACATGCAGGAAGCTTCAGAACAGACTGGAAAGCTTGCAAACTCTGGTAGAAGATTTACAGATGAAAAACCAAGGTACAGTGTGCACTTCTGGAGAAGTCTTTCTTGCTCGTAGGAATAGCCACCTTCCCTTCAGGTTAAGCCTCCTCTCTGTAGCCCACCCAGAGGACGCTGAATGAGCAATAAAGAAAGCTTTGTTAAAACACGATGTCTTAGTCTACGACTAGTTCCTGGATTAATTAGTTAATGTGACTGTGGGTAGGTCACTCTGGCCATGCTCTGCCCCTTCATCTACCTAACAGGGTCAACAGTCCTGCTGATCAGCGCCCAGGAGGACACACGTTCTGAGTGGTTTTTCACGTGGACCTCTCTCACACGCTGTCTTTCTTGCCCTGTTAGGTCTGCAGACAAGCATGTGCATGATGGTAGCCAAGATGGTATTGCAGTCAGTAGCCAGAAGGCAGAAGAATAGTATTTAGCCATGCACAGGATTTAAGTTAGCATAGCACTGTAGGAGACTCTGCCACCCAGGGAGCCACACAGTGAAAAAAGAAGCCACTGCTAAAAATACGAAAGCCCTTTGAATAAGAAACTATTATAGTCTATTAAGAGGCTGGGCATCTTGTTGGCCATACGTTCTAAGCACCACGGACATGGGGGGTTATCAGGTTTCAGGCTTTTGTGGTGTAACCTTATGAATCTGGGAGACTTCATCGGAGAGAAAGGAGATTTGGAACACATCTCTTCTCTTATTCTGTCTTTCTAGCCCTAGAGGATATAAATTGCTGGGTGAAGGAAATAAATATTTTTCTATGGACACATATTTATAAAATAAATTTAATCTTATTAATAATAAGTTACCATTCACATTTAGTGAGCACTTCTTGATTCTGCGCCAGGCCCTGTACTCAGAGCTTCACTTACATTTTCTTCATGTGGCCTCACAACACTGAGGAAGGGGGGCGTGTCATTGGGGCGCTGGAAATGAGCAGACAGAAGCTCAGAGCACCAGCGTCAGTAAGGGCTAAGTCACACAAGGGGAAGCAGGGCTGGGACTTGGTCCCTGCAGCTCCTGCCTCCTAAATCCGCATATGTTTTAGTACACTAAGGTTAATAAATTGTTGTTAAGGAACATTCCAGAGCCTTTTGAGAACTCCAGATCCCTATAACATCAGTATATAAACATCAGTGAAAACATTTGATTGTAAGTTTATTGTGAGTTTTTTTTTGCAGTTTTTGGTCAGGGCTGCATTTGAACCCACCACCTCCAGTATATGGGGCCGGCACCCTATTCCTTTGAGCCACAGGCGCTGCCCATGAATTTTCTTTTTAAAGGAAAATGCATTATTTTACTGGCCCTATTTTCATTCACACTTTAATTTATATTTCTGAGTTTATCTGATTTATGCCACCTTGTAGTAATATACATGGAAGACACGTTTTATTTGTCTAATAAATTTTAAAAGACCTTTTCATTAGGTGCAGTATCTATAAGGGATGTCTCTTAGAAATTTGGAAACAAATATTTTTGGAGAGGATTTGGGGAGTATTAGCAAAACTTAAAATGTACATACCATTGACCAAGAAATTCCACATCTGGCAAATTATTCTGTAAGACATGATTATACAAATGCACAGAAGTCTGAATACAAAAGTATTTACTATAGCATTGTTTATGAAGAAAAATAAGAACGTAGCCTTTGTTGTACCCTTTTGAGGTGTCTAAATTAATCTTTAATTAGTGTATACTACTTTTATAATAATTAGGTTCATTTAAAACAACTGAAAGAATACAGACTCACCTTCAGATCTGTTCCATAACACCAACTTTTTAAAAAAATATGCTACATCACAACTTCTCTTAATCACAGAATATATCTTTTCTATACTAACTAATCTTTTAAGAAGCATGTAACTGAATTTAAATCCTAAGTAGATTTTTCTATTCTAACTTTGTTTTGTCAACATTTTCAGCAATGTCTTCAATGATCAGAAATCAAGAAAAGAGGATACAGAAAGTGAAAGACCAGGAAAAAATGTTACTAAAATGATTCATTGCTTGCCTATTCTTTACAGAGAGATGATACCCAATTAATTGTGGTGTTACTTATAATTAGTGCCCTGTGTACTTTTTTCTTTTTATGTGAAAATTTAATAAAAGATACCCTATCCTGTAAACTCTATTTTGAAATAAATTATTCTTGAGTATTCTTACAGTAAAATTTAACATCTATTAGCTGGATTTGGAACTATTCATACATTGTAATACTTAATATCTATAAGGTATGCATATACTGTAAGTTATTATGTATGAGGTATTACAATTACTTTACAAGGTAATTAAAAGGTATAATTTGTGCTAATTCTATTGGAATAATTGCTTGTTTTTCATATTTGTTAGTGGTCCCAAGACAGTAGAATCTTTTTTTTTCAGCTTAAAAATAAATCTAGTGGAAAAACTGCTTTGATATGGAAGTGAAAGATGTGGTATAATGCCTAGAACAGAAGGACAGACTCCAGCGTACTGGACTTACACATAAGGGACTTCTTCTGTGACCCTAAACTCACTGTTTGTTCTGTCAGTATCAGTACAAGTAGTCAGATAACCAAGTATCAGGGCCCAGTTAAAACTTTAGGAAAGTTGGCTCAGCGCCTGCGGCTCAAGCGGCTAAGGAGCCAGCCACTTACACCTGAGCTGGCGGGTTCAAATCCAGCCCCGGCCCACCAAACAACAATAATGGCTGCAACCAAAAAATAGCCAGACGTTGTGGTGGGC